CTACTTGGGAGGCTGAGGTGGAGAGATCACTTGAGCCCAGGAGGACGAGGCTATAGTGAGCCATGATTGTGCCACTGCACTTCAGCCTGGGTGACAGAGCAAGATCTCATCTCTAAAAAGAAAAAAAAAGAAAGAAAACTCGTCCGTATCACTATAATTATTTTTTCACCTTTGAAAATCTGAAATGTAGTAAAAGGAACTTCATACTGAAAAGGTTATCTAGGTACCATCCAAAGTCCTCCTGGGTTCCACTCTTCAGGCCCACATGGATAACGGATTTGGAGAAACAATGAAAAGAGGACAGGCCGATGGAAAGGAATGGTTTCAAGATCACATTTCTTCCTAACATTTTTGTCAAGACTAGAGGAAGTGTGCAGCCTGTTGCCTGAGACTGAGAGTGGGCAGATGGGGAACAGGGTTGGTTTCTTCCAGGAAGGGTGAAAATAGACATGTTGGTGCCAAGCTCTTGAACATTTACACAAGACAGGACACCTCATTGCGCATTGGACTACTTTTGCCTAGCGAGACCTGGACATTAAAGGGGTTGTCAAGCTGTCCGGTGTGGAGTCTACAAAAAAGAACAGATCCGCAGAGTTTAAGATTTATGCTCCAGGATGGTAGGAGCACCACTCTGAATACAAAACTCACGTAGGTTCTTGGCTGACTCTCTTTGGGTCTCTGTTGCTTTTTCCCTGCCTTCTTGGGTTTAAATATTACTCAGGTATTTATGAAAAGGGAGCATAAAATTTGGCTGAGGACCGGTTGCAGTTCAATGCAATCCACTTGCACGAAGCCCTGAAATGTGCTGGAACACTGATTTTATTACTAAAGAGCTGAATAGGAATGGAAGAGAACCAGACAGAATGTGATCCTATAGGCTGGGTATGGTGGCTCATGGCTGTAATCTCAACACTTTGGGAGGCCAAGGTGGTCAGATCGCTTGAGGTCAGGAACCCCATCTCTACTAAAAATATAAAAATTAGGCATGGTGATGCATACCTGTAATCCCAGCTACTCAGGAGGCTGAGGCAGAAGAACCACTTGAATTCGGGAGATGGAGGTTGCAGTGAGCCGAGATCGTGACACTGCACTGCAGCCTGGGTGACAGAGTAAGACTCCATCTCAAAAAAAAAAAAAAAAAAAAAAAAGAATTTGATTATATAAAAGGGGCCTGCATTTTAAGGATGAGGAAATGTAGCGACATGAAGTAACTCACCTGGGTCCCACAGGCCATTTAGCTTCAGAAATCAACTCAAATTCCCAAATGCCTCATGTCAAAGCTGCATGCAGATGTTCAGACAACAGATGAGGTTTTGAAGACAAAGAGGAAGACAGCAGGCTCTGAGGAAGGCTTCTCTACCCAGTGAATATGTGGACACTGAGAGCTTCATGGTATCTTTCCTGGTATTGGTTTAACAAAGTTAAGAACTAATGTGAAGCAGAGGCATACAGGATGCTAGACTGACCATTTGGATCCACACATAACCATGTGAAGAAATCATTAATACTGGAAGACAGGAGGCATGTTTCTTATGGAATTAGCTCCTCTACCAGTGACATACCTACAGTGGACCTGTGGGCATCATGCCACTGTTTTTCAGTGAAAAATGAGTTCAAACCACCTGGTTATACCCCTAAACAATGGTGGAATTTGGTAAGAATGGATAAAGAGAGTATTGCTAATTAATTCCTCTATTACTAGCTCACATAAAATGCCCACTTAGCTGTTGGTATCACCTTTGAAGGATGGTCAGGTGTTTGGGTAAGATTTAGATATTAAAATTCTTTGGCCAGGCATGGTGGCTCATGCCTGTAATCCTAGCACTTTAGGAAGCCAAGGCAGGAGGATCACTTGAGGCCATGAGTTCAAGAACAGCCTGGTCAACATGGTAAGGCCCCTATTTCTACAAAAAGATTTTTAAAAACTTGTTCAGCAGACACTTGGCATTCTCAGATGTAATACTTAATAATAACGATGACAATTATAATATGAACATAGTGCTTAATATGTGTGAGACACTGTGTTAAGCATTTTTCACATGTCAACTCATTGACATCTGAGGACACCATTTGTATTAGTCCATTGTCACGCTGTTGATAAAGACATAACCAAGACTGGGAAGCAAAAGAGGTTTAATTGGACTTACAGTTCTGCATGGCTGGGGAGGCCTCAGAATCATGGCGGAAGGCGAAAGGCACTTCTTACATGACAGTGGCAAGAGAAAATGTTGGAGGAAGCAAAAGCAGAAACCCCTGACAAACCCATCAGATCTCGTGAGACTTGTTCACTATCAATCACAAGAACAACATGGGAAAGACTGGACCCCATGATTCAATTACCTCCCTCTGGGTCCCTCCCACAACATGTGAGAATTCTGGGAGATACAATTCAAGTTGAGATTTGAATGGGGACACAGCCAAGCCATATCATTCTGCCCCCACCCCTCCAAATCTCATGTCCTCACATTTCAAAACCAATCATGCCTTCCTAACAGTCCCCCAAAGTCTTAACTCATTTCAGCATTAATCCAAAAGTCCACAGTCCAAAGTCTGATCTTAGATGAGGCAAGCCCCTCCTGCCTATGAGCCTGTAAAATCAAAAGCAAGCTAGTTACTTCCTAGATACAATGGGAGTACAGGTATTGAGTAAACACAGCCATTCCAAATGAGAGAAATTGGCCAAAACAAAGGAATTACGGGGCCCATGAAAGTCTGAAATCCAGCAGGGCAGTCAAATTTTAAAGCTCCAAAATGATCTCCTTTGACTCCAGGTCTCACACCCAGGTCATGCTGATGCAACAGGTGGGTTCCCATGGTTGTGGGTCAGCTCTGCCCCTGTGACTTTGCAGGGCATAGCCTCCCTCCTGGCTGCTTTCACAGGCTGGCACTGAGTGTCTGTGGCTTTTCCAGGCTCAGTGCAGGCTGTCAGTGGATCTACCATTCTGGAGTCTGGAGGACAGAGGCCCTCCTCTCACAGTTCCACTAGGCAGTGACCTAGCAGGGATTCTGTGTGGGGGCTCCCACCCTACATTTGTCTTCTGCACTGCCCTAGCAGAGGTTCTTCATGAGGGCTCTGCCCCTGCAGCAAACTTTTGCCTGAGCATCCAGGCATTTCCATACATCTTCTGAAATCTAGGCGGAGGTTCCCAAACCTCAGTTCTTGACTTCTGTGCACCTGCAGGCTCAACATCTCGTGGAAGCTGACAAGGCCTGGGGCTTGCACCCTCTGAAGCCACAGCCTGAGCCTAGTGCTAGTGCTCTAGGCTGCACACAGCACGGGGAGCTTGGGCTCGGCCCACAAAACCACTTTTTCCTCCTGGACCTCCAGGCCTGTGATGGGAGGGGCTGCTATCACAGCCCAAATGACATCACAGTCCAAATGACATGGCCTGGAGACATTTTCCCCATGGTCTTGGGGATTAACACTAGGCTTCTTGCTACTTATGCAAATTTCTGCAGCTGGCTTGAATTTATCCCCAGAAATGGGTTTTTCTTTTCCACTACATGGTCAGGCTGCAAATTTTCTGAACTTTTATGCTCAGCTTCCCTTTTAAATAGTAATGCTTTTAACAGCACCTAAGTCACATTTTGAATGCTTTGCTGCTTAGAAATTTCTTCCACCAGATAACCTAAATCATATCTCTCAAGTTCAAAGTTCCACAAATCTCTGGGGCAGGAGCAAAATCCCGCCAGGCTCTTTGCTAAAACATAACAAGAGTCACCTTTGCTCCAGTTCCTAACAAGTTTCTTATCTTCATCTGAGACCACCTCAGCCTGGACTTTATTGTTCATATCACTATCAGCATTTTTGTCAAAGCCATTCAACAAGTCTCTTGGAGGTTCCAAACTTTCCCACATTTTCCTGTCTTCTGAGCCCTCCAAATTATTCCAACCTCTGTCTGTTACACAGTTCCAAAGTCACTTCCACATTTTTGGGTATCTTTTCAGGAACACCCCACTCTACTAGTACCAATTGACTGTATTAGTTCATTTTCATGCTGCTGGTAAGACATACCTGAGACTGGGAAGAAAAAGAGGTTTAATTGGACTTAGAGTTCCACATGGCTGGGGAAGGCTCAGAATTATGGGGGAAGGCTAAAGGCACTTCTTACATGACAGCAGCAAGAGAAAAGGAGGAGGAAGCAAAAGCGGAAACTCCTGATAAACCCATTAGATCTCATCAGATAGTGAGACTTATTCACTACATGAGAATAGCATGGGAAAGACTGGCCCTCATGATTCAATTACCTAACTCTGGGTCTCTCCCACGACATGTGGGAGTTCTGGGAGACACATTTAAGTTGAAGGCCAGCGTGGTGGCTCATGCCTGTAATCCCAGCACTTTGGGAGGCTGAGGTAAGCAAATCACCTGAGGTCAAGAGTTCAAGACCAGCCTGGCCAACAGGGTGAAACCCTGTCTCTACTAAAAAAAAAAAAAAAAAAAAAAAATTCAGCCAGTGTGGTATCAGTTGCCTGTAATCCCAGTTACTTGGGAGGCTGAGGCAGGAGAATTGTTTGAACCCAGGAGGTGGAGGTTGCAGTGAGCTGAGACCTCTCTATTGCACTCCAGCCTGGGTGATAAGAGTGAAACTCTGTCTCAAAAAAAAAAAAAAAAAAAAAAAAAAAAAAAAAATTCAAGTTGAGATTTGAATGGAGACACAGCCAAACCATATCACCATTATTATCCCCATTTTATAGATAAACTGAAGCAGAGCAGTAAATTCACCCAGAATCACACAACTATGAGGTATCATAGCTTGGATTTAAACGAGGACAGGATGTGTTCACAACTTTCTCTTCATGAGTCACTCTGAAGACCCATGATATAATCATTTGTCATTCTTCAGAGGCAGGGATTGAATTCACTTGTTATGAAAGGGCTTTGTGCAAGAAGTAAGTCACTTAGCTAGTGACTGAGCCCAGCTCATTGAAGAACATCTGAATCCCAGAAAAGTTTTGCTGTTTTCTGATCAACCTAAAGTGGAGCTTTTGCAAGAAAACTATATGCCACAGTAGATGGCATATAATTTAGTTAGATGTAATAATTATGATGCTTTTGACAACAGGTAACAAAAATGCCAACTGACAATCATTTTAAAAGTAAAGACAATTAACTTTCTAATGCAACAAGAAGTCTGGAGAGAGGTGGTTTTAGGTTGGTACAGCAGCTCAAAGATCCTCAGCATGTTGGTGTTGACTTCCTGCATGGTCCCAAGGTGGCTGTGGTAGTTCCAAGCATCACATCTTCATTCTCTGGTATCCAAGAAGAAAAGAAGGAGGGAAGGCAAAAAATATTTCCTCTTTCTAAGGAGGAAAAACACTTTGCGTAAATTTCCCCTACCTCTTTTCTGTCACATTTCATTGCCCAGAACTGTGTTACATGTCAACCCCTAAGCTGAGGTTTCTCCACCTCAGCCTCATTGATGTTTTGGCCCAGGTAATTCTTTGTTGTGTGAGGCTATCCAGCAGCACCCCTGGCCTCCACTCATTAGATGCCAGGAACACAGTCCCAGTTAGGACAACCAAAAATGTCTCCAGATATTGTCAAATGTGTGTGTGTGTGTGTGTGTGTGTGTAAAATTGCCTGAAGTTGAGAACTATTGTCTTAGACCAATGAGTGGCAAAAAGAAATGAGAAAGTCATAACTGACTTAGACGAATCAGTTTATCCTCTGGGGCTAGGCACACTGATGCCTGAAGAGTCCTATTTAAGGGAGGAGGGGTAATGGCTGTGGTTTTACAATCATTCCCACATTGCTTTGTGATTTTGTTTTTTGTTTCTTTAAAATAGAGAAATAGCGTCTTGGCTATGTTGACAATTGTCTCTGTTGCCAATAGAGTCTTGTCTGTGTGGCCCAGGCTGGTCTTGAACTCCTGGGCTCAAGCGATCCTCCCACTTTGGCCTCCCAAAATATTGGGGTTCCTGGTGAGAGCCACTGTGCCTGGCCCCCATGTTGCTTTGTTGTTCAAACAAATGCTTTTATTGGAAATCCAAGGGGAGAACTGAAAAGGAGGTGTTCTCTCTTCTCACATCCAAGAAATCATTCCTGTGGTATGTTGGGAGAATTAGGTCTTAGAAACAGGTGTCTCAAGATAACTAGTTTTCAGCTTTGGTGGCCACAGGGAAACAACAGGGAGTCAGGGTAGCCAATCCTCTTTTTATTTAGACAATCTACACCAAGATGCCTTTCTTGGGGAATTTTTTTTTCTCCACCTCCCGTTTTTTTTTTTTTTTCCAAAGATAAACTTGTATTTGTCCATGGATACTTGATAAATAAGGACTGCAAAAGGAAAATTTCTAAATGTGTTCCTCCATTACATGCCTTGGATATTTAATTTCAGTTATTAAGATTATGGTTGTAAAACTTTTCAAATTGGTTGTTTGAAAACTATTGGTAAACACCATTAAGTTGGCTGCCCAGGGTCATTTCAGTCTTATGATATTTATTTTCAAAATTTCAATCAGTCAAGTTGTGTACAAGGTGGGACTCAGAACTTTCAGCTAGAAAATAATACTTGGATTTAAAGGGTTACAAGGTGTGATTTTCCTGGCTTTCAAAGAGCTGTGTTTCAGATCATGGTTTTCATCAAAGTCATTTTCTACATTTTTGTAAACATGTTTAATAAGAAAAAATTTAAATAACCAAAATAAAATGAAAAATTGCACTAAATATGGAAACATTGGAATGAGTGCTATGTTGTAAAGGCTCTCCCTTATGAAAACACTATAAAGCTAGCACTGTATATCTTAGGGAAGGGGGACACTTTGTTATTGCTTTCTAAAAGAATTTTTTTACTCTATCCTTTAGCAGTGAGATTGAAAGAATATTGAGAATTCCCTGATGGGAACCCAGCTTTCATTATTAAAAGGAAGACCCTGAGTAAATATGAAATTACTTACATTAGGGCTATAGACACCAATGATGGCCAAAAGTCTAATTATAATAAATGAAAATTGTTAGTTGAATTCCCCCCAAAACCCCAGAGGCATAAATACTTCAGGAATTGATTTTCTTTTACTCAGATACCTTATAATGATTCAGCAAAACAAAATTATAAATACTTCAGTTCTGAGTAACATTAAATTGGGAGCAGATTGGATCCTACTCCCCCAAGTCCACTTACCTCAGATAGGTCAGCAGTACTGGGATGTGCTTCAGTGGAAAAGTTTATCCTAAATTGATTGGAGCAGAAAAAACAAAATCGGATATACATATTTTTAAACTCCCACCTCTCATCATGTCCTCAGTGCATTTTTTCCCCCTCATTGCAATTTTGTAAAGGTCTGATTCAAAATATTTAATTAGAAAATTAGCTTAATCAGATTTCAGGGAACTAAAAATAGAACAACCCTAAGGTGAGTGCATATATACATACACACACATATATATAGGCTCTATTGTCAGATAGGAATTAAGAAAAAGATTACCAAAAACAAAACAATATATATCTATTTTATGTACATATATACACACACATATATAGAGTCAATTATATTATTCATGGTAGCTATGTTCTTTAAAGTTGTAGCAAATACTGAATTAGTAAATAGCAAATCATTGACCCTAGGGGAATCTTAGGGTTAAGTTCCTGCAAACCTGTGGTCACAACATGATTATTCACTGATCAACACATAACCTTGTTTTATGTATGTTTTTGTTTAAAGACACCTTATTTAATACACAGTGCTGATCCATTTTTAACATGGAACTCACAAACACCATAACTCACATCTGCACAAAATTTATCTAACACACGTATTTTCTCCGCAAGGCACTTCACAGCCTTCTTATACTTAGGAACGCAAGAGAACTATGGTTGGGGGCTGTTTTAAACAGCAAAATCACCAACCAAAAGCACACAAATGTGAAAAACCTGGCGCTAGCTAGACCTAGAAAAGGACCCCTGTTTATACTCTGAGGGCTGAAACAAGTATTTGACCTGGGAACATGCACGTTAGGTGACTCAAATCTCCCCGCTCTTTGCGCAGGTCTGAATAATCACAGAAGTGCTACAGTATTGAGGTGTATTGTGTGAAACATACAACCCAAGTATGACATATTATTGTCAAAAACAACGAAGCCTAATCAAGCCTCCAGAGCCAACCAGGAGGAAGAGGTAACAAGTGAAACAGGTCTATGCTTTGGAAACAATCAGATAAATTCAGGAGGTAGGACAGTTGACTTTGTGTGTGTGTGTGTGTGTGTGTGTGGCAACAAGTCAATTGCATGAAAAAAAGAAAGGGAAGGGGGAACTTTCATGAGATGGAAGAGAAATAATCAGCAAGTGCAATACGTGTACAATTAAATTGTAAAAAGACACTTCTGGGACAGTTGGGGACATTTGAATATAACTGGCTAGTTGGTATTAAATAATTAAAATAATTACCTGTGTTGTTAATTTCCTAAGTGTGAGAAGGGTACTGCGGTTTTATAGGAAAATGCTCTTATACTTCAGAGGTTTATACAGAAGTGTTAAAGGGTAAATTACATGTTGCCAGGGATTTTTAAAAAATATTATGGGACAGGAAAGAAAAAAAAGGGAAAGATTAGGAAAAAACACTGCTAATTAGTTGCTTGACTAAAATTAGTAGCAAATTATTTTTCTTTTTTCTTTCTTTCTTTCTTTTTTTTTTCTTTTGAGATGGGGTCTGGCTCTGTCACCTAGACCGGGATGCATTAATGTGATCATAGCCCACGGCAGCCTCAAACTTCTGGGCTTAAGTAATCCTCCTGCCTCAGCCTCCTGAATAACTGGAACTAGAGATGCACGCCACCATGCCTGGCAGATTTTTGGTTGAGATGGGGGTCTCACTATGTTACCCAGGCTGGTATTGAACTCCTGACATTGAGTGAAGCTCCCATCTCAGGCTCCCAAAAGTGCTATGATTACAGGTGTGAGACTTTGCACCCAGCCAACAGTAAATTCTTTCGAAGTGGTTAGATGTCTGCTGCTTACAGTACTTTTGGAGTTATGGAGGGGTTTGGCTCAATTATTCAATGTAGTAGTTATTACTTAAAGAATGAACTTTTAGTTTCAGCGAGAAAGGAGGGAGAAACATAAGAAATGGTTGCTAAATAATAGCTTAGTCAGCAGAGGTCTAGAATCTCTGTAGTCTCTGAGATCTTTCATGTGATTCATTAGTTCCAAAACTCTTTTTATAAAAATACCAAGGAGCTGAAGCTGAGACCTGAAAGCTAAGAAGGAGTGTTCCAGGCAGAGGGAATGGTATGTGCAAAGGCTCTACAGAGCACTGTGCATATAGAAGTCTGACTCAAAGTGGTTCTGTGTGATTGGAATGTACAGTTCACAGCATATACATAGCTGATGGAGTGGTTTGTGGGAGGATTCCTTTGCTTTATAGTTGTTCATTGGCATGGGATTGAAGCCTTGGCATTTAGTGCTACAATTCTTGCAATGAGGTGGGAATCTGTCAAAGCTTGGAAGGCCTACCTTAAAGGTATCCAGTTCTGAACATTTTCTCTCTTGTTTTCTGTATACCTAAGAATACTACTCTTAAAGATACCCAGGTTTGGCAAAGTAATTGTAATCATCCCAGTCAACCCTATAGGGCACTTGGGAGTTTACAAAGCTCTTCCTTATGGGCATTTCTGCATTTGGATTTTGAGCCAATGGGGTAGACATAGTGGGTATTATAATCCCCAATTTACAGAGCGGGAAACTAAGGCTCTAAAACATCACGTTTCTTGACTTCTGTTACCCAGTTAATGAGTAGCCAAGCCAGGACTTGAAGCTTGGTCTTTAGCCACCAAATAATTGAACTAACCAATTCATTAAAATGCTCATTGATTCCATATGATTCTGTCACAGGTGACGGCTGAGGCTGCAAGATGAATGAGACAAGTCCTTACTCTCACATACTTGTTCCCTGTGGTTCTCCACATGTTTAAGTACAGTGTCTAGCACACAGTAGAAATTAGACCAGTAGAATCCTATGTTCTTCATTGTCCACTTCTAATTATTTGCCTTTATGAATGGTTATTAAGTTCTGCCAGATATATTTGATATTGCATATTAATAGTGAAACCACTGAGGTGATAAGAGAGAATTGCCTACTGGGCATTTCACCATATTCATTCTTAGAATTATACACTTTAAGTAACATGCTTTGGGCCTCCAGTTGTCCCTTTTTCTAACCAACATTTCATATAACTGCACATGGCATTTTTGAAAATTGCAAGTCTACATGCTGCCCCTACCTCAGAGCTGTTCATGGCTGCTTATTTTATTTTATTATTTTGTGTGTGTGTGCAGAATTTTGCTTTCTTTTTTCCTTCAACTTTTAAGTTCCAGGTACATGTGTGGGATGTACAGGTTTGTTACATAAGTAAACATGTGCCATGGTAGTTTCCTGCACAGATCAACCCATCATCTAAATATATTTTTTTTTATTATTATACTTTAAGTTCTAGGGTACATGTGAACAACATGCAGGTTTGTTACATATGTATACATGTGCCATGTTGGTGTGCTGCACGCATTAACTCATCATTTACATTAGGAATATCTCCTAATGCTATCCCTCCGCCCTCCTCCCTTCCCACAATAGGCCCTGGTGTGTGATGTTCCCCTTCCTGTGTCCAAGTGATCTCATTGTTCAATTCCCACCTATGAGTGAGAACATGCGGTGTTTGGTTTTCTGTTCTTGTGATAGTTTGCTGAGAATGATGGCTTCCAGCTGCATCCATGTCCCTACAAAGGACATGAACTCATCCTTTTTTATGGCTGCATAGTATTCCATGGTGTATATGTGCCACATTTTCCTAATCCAGTCTGTCACTGATGGACATTTGGGTTGATTCCTAGTCTTTGCTATTGTGAACAGTGCCACAATAAACATATGTGTGCATGTGTCTTTATAGCAGCATGATTTATAATCCTGTGGGTATATACCCAGCAATGGGATGGCTGGGTCAAATGGTATTTCTAGTTCTAGATCCTTGAGGAATTGCCACAGTTTTCCATAATGGTTGAACTAGTTTACAGTCCCACCAACAGTGTAAAAGCGTTCCTATTTCTCCACATCCTCTCCAGCACCTGTTGTTTCCTGACTTTTTAATGATTGCCGTTCTAACTGGTGTGAGATGGTATCTCATTGCCATCACCTAAGTATTAAGCCCAACATCCATTAACTATTCTTCCTGATGCTCTCCCTTCCCCCACCCCCGTGACAGGCCCCAGTGTGTTGTTTTCCTCCCTGTCTCCATGTGTTCTCATCATTCATCTCCCACTTATAAGTGAGAACATGTGGTGTTTGGTTTTCTGTTCCTATGTTGCTTTGCTGAAAATAATGACTTCTGGCTCCATCCATGTCCCTGCAAAGGACATGATTTCATTCCCTTTAAAGGCTGCATAGTATTTTGTGGTGTATATTTACCACATTTTCTTTGTCCATTATGTTATTGATGAACATTTGGGTTAATTTCATGTCTTTGCTATTGTGAACAGTGCTGTAACAAACATATGCATGCATGTATCTTTATATTAGAATGATATATATCCCTTTGGGTATATGCCCAATAATGGGATTGCTGGGTCAGATGGTATTTCTGTCTCTTGGTCTTTGAGGAATCGCCACACTGTCTCCCACAATGGTTGAACTAATGTACACTCCCATCAACAGTGCAAAAGCGTTCCTTTTTCTCTGCAGCTTTGCCAGCATCTGTTGTTTCCTGACTTTTTAATAATTGCCATTCTGACCGTGTAAGATGGTATCTCATTGTGGTTTTGATTTGCATTTCTCTAATGATCAGTGATGCTGAGCTTTTTTTCATATGTTTGTCAGCTGCATGAATGTCTTCTGAGCAGTGTCTGTTCATGTCCTTTGCCATTTAAAATTTTTTTTTTCTTCTTGTAAATTTGTTTAAGTTATTTGTAAACTCTGGATACTAGACCTTTGTCAGATGGATAGATTGCAAACATTTTCTCCCATTCTGTTCACTCTGATAGTTTCTTTTGCTGAGCAGAAGCTCTTTAGTTTAATTAGATCCCATTTGTCAATATTTGCTTTTGTTGCTATTGCTTTTGGCATTTTTCTCTTGAAATCTTTGCCTATGCCTATGTTCTGAATGGTATTGCCCAGATTTTTTTCTAAGGTTTTTATGGTTTTGACTTTTACATTTAAGTTCTTACTTTCTAAGGCAGAAGTGGCAACATGGTAACCTATAGGCCAAATCTGGCCCTCAGGTTAAATCAGGCTCACAGACACAGTATTGGGGCCTTCCCTTTGCTGGTTATTCTCTGTGTTTTCAATTTGAATTAATCACCAGTGTTTCCCATGAGGGAGAGTTTTACATAGGGATCTGGATCTTGGCCTCTCTTGAATGATGGAAAGATCTGGCAATACGAGTACTAACTCAAGTGCACTCCTGTTTGCCACAGTCCCCACTGTCTTCTCTTGTCCCTGGGCCAGTGCATTAATTCACAGCACCTGCCTGGTCTGGGCCAGGTCTAAGGGACAAAAGACTGTTTCTTTAGTGCTACATCCATGGCCCTCCATGATTTGGCCTCAACTTGCCTCTTTTGCTTCACCTCCATCCCATTTGGAATTTTATGCTCTGCTAATAAGGAGATAATTGTAGTTCCCAGAATAGAGTATGCCTTTGGTTCCTTTAAACGACCTGTACCTTTTTCTCAGTTCTACTGAACCATATGTTCCTTCAAGACCCAGTTTAGATATCATCTTCTCCAAGAGGCCTTCCCTGACCCTTGAGGTTGGATAAGGATCTCTTTACATTCCCCTAGTTTCTTGTGCCCTCTCTAACTATGATACTGAGATGATCTGCTTATCCAGTAGTCCCCCCAGTGGGAACTTCTCTCACCTGCCTACATTCACTTTTGTAGCCCAGCACCTAGTGCAGTGTCAGGCATACCTCGGGGCAGGTGTCATAAGAACTCAGACTCCAAATGCTTCCATTAGAGAAGGCCTGGGAATCCAGAGAGGGGAATTTTCTCAGAGACCAAATCCCTTTCTGTAGCCTTTTGCCTTCTTTTCTCCATGTGTCTATTCCAGGAGCCCCTGTCTAAAAAAAAAAAAAAAAAAAAAAAAAAAAAAAAATTACTAATTTGGTTTTACTGAGCACTTTGGGCTTTAGATAGGAGATAGTTTAAATAATCAAGTCTTTCTGGCTTCTTGCCTTTGCATGCGTGGATGAGCCAGAAGTGAAAATGTAGGTGAGTCACTGAGTTGCCTCTTGGCCCCACTGCAGTGCAAGGCTTAGGAGACCACTCCTCAAGAATGGTGCTCCTGGCAATTTGGGAGAGGGAACTGATTCTGAGAAGCCAGCCTGAGGCTAGGATGGGTTAATCACTATAATTACTCATTGCAGCTATTAATAATCACTAGTTATTTAAATATGAAGTAATTAATTCACCACTATTAAGTAGAGGTACTTAGTGAGGAATTAAATACTTTGCCTAAAGCTATCCTTAGAAGACAGGCAGGGAGGCCAGGTGGTATGGTGGCTTCTGCCTGTAACCTCAGCACTTTGGGAGGCCAAGACAGTAAGATTTCTTGAGGCCAGGAGTTCAAGACCAGCCCAGGCAATATAGTGAGACACTGCCTCTACCAAATAATAATAATAATAAGGACAGGGAACATGGTAGTCTCATTTAGAGGCTGCTCTATTCCAAACCAACTCCAGGAAACTCACCTCGGTGACAGGATCTTGTTGAGGATGTTATTCCTTACATTGCAGAATGTCCTCCTGCTCCTCTATGTCAGGAAAAGCCATGTTGTTCCCGGACAGTGTGAGTTAGATAGCCCGTCCTGATTCCCTTTCTGTGTTAATTGCTGGAAAGCTCAGAGTCAAATTTGTGACTTGCTTATTTAGGTTTGTAAGGTGTTCTCTTTTGGAATAAGCCTCATTCTTAGTTTTCCACTTGTATTTTTCTTTCTTTTGGCCTACCTACTTAAAAAAAAAAAAAGTCCCTACTCTGCCCTTACTAAAGAATGATACTTCATGCATACAAAATCTTTAAAAATGTATTTAACACAGAAAAGCAAACACAAAATGAGTAAAAATCACCTAGTCATACCCAGAGAGAACACTATCTATATTTTGGTATATTTTCTCCCTACCCCCACCCAACCCACAGGCTATACATATATTTTAGGTTAGTGCAAAGATAATTGTGGTTATTGCCATTACTTTTTTTTTTTTTTGAGATGGAGTCTTGCTCTGTCACTCAGGCTTGGAGTGCAGTGGTGCCATCTTGGCCCACTGAAACCTCTGTCTCTCGGGTTCAAGTAACTCTCCTGCCTCAGCTCCCTAAGTAGCTGGAATTACAGTTGTGCACCACCACGCCTGGCTAATTTTTGTACTTTTAGTAGAGACGGGGTTTCACCATGTTGGCCAGGCTGGTCTCGAACCCGTGACCTCAAGTGATCCGCCTGCCTCGGCCTCCCAAAGTGCTGAGATTACAGGTGTGAGCCACCATGCCTTGCCTATGATTGCCATAACTTTTAGTGGCAAAAATCACAATTACCTTTGCACCAACCTGATACAAAATGAGATTATATCATATATAGTGTTTTATAACTGTCCTTCGTTTCACCCCACTTACTACATCATGCACATCTTTCTATGTGGTTAGGTGACTTCCGTCTTGTAGATGTTTCATAATTTATTCAATCGATAAAAGATTGTTGAATGTTAGGCTGTTTCTAAATGTTCCCTTTTATAAAACAACCAAAAACATGTAATAAACACTCTTGTATCAAAATCTTCATGCGTAGATTGATCTTTCGGTGAAAATTCTTAGAAGTTTTCATTGGCTTTTAACTTATGTTGCTTCATTTAATGTATCCCATCAAGCACCCTTAAATACTTTCTGGAACAAGCTGAGATAGGACTAATCTCTTGCTCAGCATCCACCCATCAGTTACCTGGGACAAATTTTCTCGGAAGACTCAAGATACACAGAATGATAAGAGGTGACCTCTGTGTCCTCCCGGGGTTTAAATTCGACTTGGTGAAACCGATGACCTATAAAAACGTGCACTAAGTGACCAAATACAAGGTTAGAGAAAAGTTTATATATAAGGTGGCAACTGAAAGGTGCCAACAGCAACAATTCATAAGGGCAGGTTGGTACATTCAGCAAATATTTACTGTAAGTGTTTTGTGCGCCCCATGCTGAGGATACAATGGAGATTAAGACACAGTCTTTGTCCCCAAGGAGCTCAAGGTCTATAGGGGGTGAATGAGTGAAGGGGAGGGTCTCAGAGTACTTACACAGATTATTGCAAAACAACCTGGCAAGTGTTCTTAGAGACACACAGGATTTTCTGGAAGCTTGAAGGCTGGAAGAGGGGGCCAGAAAAGGCTTCCTGGAGTTGAGCCTAAAGGATGAAGAGAAAGCCAAACAAAAGAGCAAAAAGACCTTTTGCAGAGAGCAGTAGACAAACTTTTTGACTTTGCCCCACAGTGAGAAATTCATTCTAAATCTTGATCTAGTATAGGTACATTTTTATACATAACAAAAGTTTCATGCATCAATTCTCTAATACACGCAAAATAATTTTACTTTCTATTTTAATTCATTAAAAAAAAGTATGGTTGCAATCTACTAAATTGTTTTGATGACCCATTAATGAGTACTTATGTGCTGATTGAACATTACAAGCCTAAACTGAGGAAGGGTTTAGTGCTTGACAAAGGAAATATTAAATCCAAGTAGTGGCTAAAAGTCTCTGGAGTAGAACAGCCAGGTCAGGAAAAGGTCCTTGAAAAGTCCCTCTTATTTGCAAAATGAAGCATAAATAGGCTCCAGTTGTCATAATAAAGAGAATGAAGAACACCTTTTTGTTCTTTTGAGTGGTTTACCAAAAGCTCCCTCACCCTTTGTTATGTAGAGCTGGTACCTGGGGAGACTCGGTACCTCTGTTTGTGGAAATTGCCTCAAATCTCTTTCCCCCAACATTCGGAGTCTTTCAGAATGGCGAGACAGGGTGATGAAGTACCAAAGATAAAATTACCCCGAGGACACCCTCAGGTGTGATTAGGTTCAACTCAAAGGGCTGAGAATTCACAGGGGTGGGCTGGTTTGGGTGCAGTGTGCTTATGATGGTCTGAACTTCCAGGCGCCAGCCCTGGTAGCACAGTGGATGTGCTTTGGTAAGAAATGGCTGAGTATGAGAGCGTAAACGGGGAAAAAAGGCTGTAACGCTAAAGGCCAAAATGAGACTTCAATGAACTTCAGTTGGTACCCGGATCAGTGAGGACAACCCAGTAATCAATGCTCCATCCACAAGCAGTGGGGCGGAGCCAGTCTTCAACAGCTCCCCAGGCGTTAGTGGGAAGCAATGGTAGTAGTAACTGATCAGCGCAGAGTTTCTCTGGCCTGGGGAAGAGGTGTGGTAAAATCCTTACCAACTCAGACTCTAGGGTTCTTGGTCAGTTTTGTGTGTGGGGAGAGGTCTTAAAAGAATGATACAGAATATCCTGCCATTAAAGCACAGACTAGTTTAAAACGTGGAATCAGGTTTGAAGTCTGAGTTTGTAGAGCATGTATGTATGCCAGCACCATGTGGAATTTAGCCTAGGTTCGTCTAATGGAGCCCATATTCTTAAGCATGCCGCTGGTGGTTTCTCTAGTGTGGTTTCCTGACCAGAAGCATCAGCATCTCCCAGGAACTTGTTAGAAACGCACATCTTAGACCTCCTTCAAGACCTGCTGAATCAGAAACTCTGAGAGTGGGGCCCTGCAAGCTGGTGTCACAAGCCCCCCAGATGAGGAAACTGAGGCTTGGAGAAGGTCCCACAGCTAGCCAGCAATAACCTGGATTCAAATTCAGACACCAGCTCCCGGGGCCCATGTTCTAAACCACTAGCACAGCTTTTCTCAGACTTTTGTGGACTAAGCCTCAGAGTCAGAAATGCAAATTATTCTTATTCTTATTCTTAATTTTTAGTTCTGGGGTACACGTGCAGGATGTGCAGCTTTGTTACATAGGCAAACGTGTGCCATGGTGGTTTTCTGCACCCATCAACTCATCACCTGGGTATTAAGCCTGGCATGCATTAGCTGGAAAATGTAGATTATGTCATGGCCCAGTACACACAGGAAACAATATACATTTTTTTTTTCCTATTCTATTTTCTTCTATGCTCTTTTATTTCAGCTAAAAAAAAGTTTTCAGCTATGGCTCACCAAATTGGTTTCACATCCCACTAATTATTGGGTTATAACTCATAGTTTGAAAAACCCTGCATGAGAACATACTATTTTACACCAAGAAAGCCAACCAATGTGAAATAGCAAGAATGTAAGACATGGCAGATGTCATTTAAGTATGTTATTGTTGGGTATAGGTGACAAGTATTACAGTCAAACATTTGAGGGAGAGAGAAAGTGAGAGATATTGAAATAGGGGAGGTAAGAGAACTGAGGCTTCCAGGGAGAGGCAGGATACAGAGTTATAAGCTTTGAGAATGAAATAGAATTCAGAGGGAAAAATTCAGGGAAGAACACTCTAACAATCCCTAGGCCTTGAGGGATTAAAGTTTGGTACTAAATGTCAGTATTATCATCCGTAAAATGGGGTAATAATTGTCCCTATCTAAAGGGGTTATTGTGAGACTAGAAGAAAATAATGCATGTTGGCCAGACCCAGTGGCTCATGCCTGTAATCCCAGACTTTTGGGAGGCCAAGGCAAAAGGATTGCTTGAGGCCACGAGTTTGAGATCAACCTGGCCAATATGGTGAAATCTCATCTCTACAAAAATACAAAAAGTAGCCAGGCATGATGGCACGTGCCTGTAATTCCAGCTATTTGGGAGGCTGAAGAAGGAGAATTGCTTGAGCCTGGGAGGCAGAGGTTGCAGTGAGCTGAGATTATACCACTGCACTCCAAGCTGGGAGACAGAGAAAGACTCTGCTCACGAAAAGAAAAAGAAAAAAGAAACCAATAATGCATGTGCCATGCTTTGTACTTAGTCACTGTTCACTGGCAAAATGATGAGAACCACATAAGTAAGCATTTCTGGTAGTCACATTAAAAAAGAAAAAAAGAG